AACGGTTCTGAGAGTTTTTTTTGTCTAGTGACATTGGTAATTCGTGTAGTTGTGAATTTGAGAATCACTGCTTAACCAAACTGCACAAACCAAAAGATCGCGGGTCTCTCTCTCTCTCTCTCTCTCTCTCTCTCTCTCTCTCTCTCTCTCTCTCTCTCTCTCTCTCTCTCTCTCTCTGTCTCTCTTGCGCAAATGATTCTCAAATTTTACGACTAGACTAGTTGCTACGTTTGCAAAAAAAAGAAACTGTCGAAACCGTTTGCTTTCCAGTGCACATTATTATAATGGTACATTATTATAGCTTTCGGAACGCATGCGTCTCGTTCAACGGGAGGTTCGTCCATTGGGAAAAAAATCCCCCCGCACTCGCGCAAGAAAAAAATGGCCACCGTAACTTTTCCGTCTGTGATTGCATTCCGCTCGACGGTCTTGTCGACGTCGATGTTCGGTGATGTCACTTTGCCTTTGTTTTCGCTCTCGTCAAATGCGGTGCAAAGGCGGAAACGACCGGTGTTTATCAACAGGACACTACACTGCCAATGATTAACATAGCCTGTGTCCTCCAGAATATCCAAACGACGAATTTGGAGGAAACGCGTTACGCGAGAGGACAAAAATGTTTACTGGTCTCTTTCAGCTTTATCGAACATAAAAATTAAAAGCATAAATTCGACTTTCATAAGAATCTACGACGAATATTTTAAAAGAATAATTTTTATAAGGAATTGCAAACCGGTCGTTTTTAGTAGTATAACGCGGAGGGCATTTTTGGTCATTAGAGAGGAGAAAGAATTCACCCAAAAAAAAGTATTCAATTGTAAAGTGATTTTCCCATAGTCTCATATTCTAAGCGAAGCCTTTTACAGAAAAAGGATTTCTCTTTCGATAAAGCGATTAAAGTGAACCATCTGAAATTTATTAGATATTATCTAACTGTTTTTCCTCTTATTTCAAGAGGATTTTCTCTTATATCGATTAATTTTCCTCTTATATGAAGAGGAATATGTTGATTTGAATGTCGACTTTTTTTGTTCAGTCATGCTCTACCACTAGACATGAACGAAAAAATAATAACCATATGCTCATGGGTCAGAATATTTGGAACGCTTTTTAAAAAAGGTGTGTGTGTCACTGTAACATACAATAATTTCATCATATCATATTTCAAATATAGATTTATAATCTATTGCAAGGAGTTGAATAGTATATTTTTCCTTTTAACTATATTTCCTACAATTGGTTATGATAAACATCTTTGTAGCTTTGAAGTCCGTAACAAAACTGGTTGGAAATTTCTTTGTTATGACGATCTTATTTCATTCGTGTCTACTTATTGCAGAACTGGAGCCAGAAGTACATCTATATATATTACTTTTCGCTATACATTATAATAATTTTTTCAAATTATTTAGTATAACCAGTAAGAATAAAGTACAGTGAAAATAAATGATAATCCTCTTAAAAAAAGACTAAATAATCTGTGTATAAGAGGAAATTTATATCAAAATCAATAAGATTTGCATCATATACATACAACATATAATCCCTCTAACTTTATGAATAATGTGTTTATAATATTTTCCTCTTAATTTTAGAGGAATCCTCTTGAGGCCATATATAAGAATAAAATCGTCTAAAATTTCGATGATTCCGCTTGTTCTGAAATTACTTGTTCTTGGGTGGATCGCGTACGGGAAGCTCGCGGACAGGTTTGACGCGAGATCAAGAGATTCGTCAACACCTGTCCTTGATGGGCTCTCGCAGAAGTAACCCGAGTGTAAGCACCGAGTGTATATATAGGCGCAGCATTTGTTCCTCTATCTTTTCCGCGTGTATTTGTGGTGCGGTATTATCGAACGAGCGTGTGTCTGTATGTGTGTGTGTGTGTGCGTGTGCGTGTCGTGTGCGTGTGCGCGTGTGCGTGCGTGCGTGTGCGTGCGTGCGTGTGCGTGCGTGCGTGTGCGTGCGTGCGTGTGCGTGCGTGCGTGCGTGCGTGCGTGCGCGCGCGCGCGCGCGTGTGTGTGTGTGTGTGTGTGTGTGTGTGTGTGTGACAAAAAGAGAGATGTAAAGTTTGCACTTTTATTATTCACGCACGGAAGGGGAGGAGAGAGGCGGGCGCGAATACACCGCGAGTCCACTCGGCTTCGCGCTTTTCCCCGCATTATTCATCATTCGGGCCTCAAATACGCACGCGGGGCGATGTATTTAAATTGGCCGGACTCCAGCGAATACGCGTTATGTCACCGAGATGTCAGACAGGCCTCACAGTGGCCTAATTGCATTTATTATTAGGCGAGATTATTAATAACAGGCCGGACAAGCGGTCTGCCTTCGACACTCGAAGTCGTCGCTGCTTCGATCTCCCTCGGGATTTTTCGCGCGAGCAACGATCGAACGAGTCGAAACGCGGTTTGGGTCTAAAAATATGACTCGAAATGGATTATAGATGTCATATGAGAGCGAGCGACAGTGTTACGTGGCGATTCTGCCGCTTTTGTCACGCCAAAAGTCTCGCTTCCTCGCTAGCAGCCGCGGTCGTTATTGTCGTTCCGCCTTTCATTCAACATTTAAATGTTATGTATATTATTTACACATGGTAGAAAATAGAATGTTTAGAATGATTTATGCGCTAGAAAGTCTGTTCTAATTTCAGTTCCGCTAATTTTCAGTTGAAGCAACTTATTCGTCGGTGAATTGAAGATATTATTTCATTGATATTATTTCATTCACGCTCTGCTTTTTTTACATTTATGTCTGTTATTTTGATTTTGGGCACGATTAAAGTAACATTCCGTGCACGCGAATATGTTTAAGTGATCGAAGAATCGTGTTGAAATGTATCAACTTTTACGTCCGTATTGTACGAAGAAAAATTGCAGTTTGCATTTTTTTTTGTTTATTCTTTACATTATTTTCAGATCGTATTCAAAGCTAACACTAATTAACATCCCCATTTTGTCGACGAATAATACTCAGCACATGAGCTGTTTTTACCGAAAATTTGTAGCAAACTTTCTGACTTAACCCGACCTTTCTGAGATATGAAATTTATATTTCTTTTTATACTGCGCATGCACGCACACACACACGCACACACACACATACACACGCGCGCGCGCGTGCCAAATCGTTAAAATGTCAGCGCATCTATTGTCGTGAATTTCTCACTCGAGCCGATACGTCTGGAAATACTTTGGTATTTCCAGACAATTCCCACGGATTTATACGAGACCCTTGAACAGAGTCGGTAGTTTGAGCGTAGCCGCTAAAATGGCAGCTTACTTGCCGTCCTTTTCCCTCCACTGGATGACGCACACCGTAGATAAATCTGAGGGTGTAACCCGCACGTACGAATCGATAAAGCGGCGCCGCATACGTCGCATCGGCTGTAATGCACAATTTTGCGCCGCAAGCGAGCGAGCAGGTCGCTCAGCAGAGAATGCAATAAGCGTGTTTTACTGTTTATCGCGGTCACGATTGTACTCGTAGATAATCTTCCGTCCATTTGTGCGGGAACCGGTGGGAAGCCACTCGTGTCTTTTGGCACCGACGACGAGGTGAGTGTAGAGTATAGACCGTCAGCCTTGCGGGATTTTGCGCGAACGAAAAGTTTCGTTCCTTGATAAAGACAACTAACAAATTTGATAACAGCAAAATTCCTACCGCTGAATTTTGTGTTAAAAGATACGTAAATTACTATTTTATGTCACAAATTTTCTACGTAGATGAATCGCAGAGATGCGATTTAAGAAAAAACATTTCATACGCTTCATTGTAAATATCTGTGGAACATCGAAGTAATCATATAATTATAAACTTGATATTTATTGTGTCCTAAGTGTCACAATTTTTATATCGAGTGATGAAAAACGATAGTTGATAAAATCATCTTCCTATTCGATCAATATTTCCGACTGCTTTCCTATGTCCTTTTTGTAGTCGCGAAAGTTTGCGGCTGACGATCTCGAGCAATACCTCGCCGGCGTTTCTGCCAGTGCGCAGATGCGCCCGGGCGCCAAGAGTCACAGGCACGTTCCTGCGAGGAAAGGACCGGTTCACTAAGGATCGGTTCGCCCGCTCCAAAGGTCCGCATTGCGGCGTTGTATCATTCTGTCACTCGCGCACGTTCGACACGATACATTTCCTCGCACTTTTTGTATACTCACCGTGCATTGTCCTGTCAATTAACCTCACATCTGTACACTGGGACTCCATTTTTATTTTCGCACTGTTGCGCAGTGTTGTTCCGTAGCAGAACAAAATTTTACAATTATTGCGGTACTTTTTTGCGGTAATTATTGCAGTAGAGATAATAATTAAGATTTTTGCGACCTTTTTTGAATACGTTACCAACATGAAAACATCACCACGTCTGCCAACATGAGCCGCGCATGTGTGACCTTCTCGCGGAGGTCGTAAATGTAAAATTTTTTTAATTACAAAAATTGTCTGCATCCCTTGTTTCTCCGTGACACTTTTTGGAGAACTTTGCCCCAAAGTGTCAACACACATTTTTTTTCATTTATTTATCATTCTCACATTCTTTTTCATTTATTTATCTATCTATCTACTATGTGCGAGGGCGATAATTTTTCACTCCATGTCCACATAAACAACAACTCGAGTGTGTTAAAAAAAAAATATATATATATAGGGCGTTTTTTGCGACGCACAAAATTCCTAGGAATGAACAAGAAAACATTGAAGGAGAAAAGGACTTTTTGAGATTCGATAAGTTCCGCGTGAGAGTCCAAGAATTCTCAATACGCCACTGCTCCACGTTTTGAGCTCTCCCCCTCCTGCTTCTCCCGTTCTCGTTCCCTCCTTCGCGTCTCGCTCGCTCGTTCTCTCTCTCTCTCTCTCTCTCTCTCTCTCTCTCTCTCTCTCTCTCTCTCTCTCTCTCTCTCTCTCTCTCTCTCTCTCTCTCTCTCTCTCTCCTCCCCGTCCTCTCCTCCCCTACCGCTATCAATGAACCCCTCTTCTCGCGTAAGCCGGATCCCGAATCGTTGCTGGGACAGTCGCGAGTGTGGCTGCAGCCGTCCCGCAGATACTCCCGGCTCTAGCGAAAACGATCCCCGTGGCGTACGCAGGATGGTGCGAAGGAACAATCAGAGAGGACACGCGGAGGTCCCGAAGGCTCTGCCGGAGCGCGGTCCCGGTAAGTCCCCGCATCGAGCCTCGACAGGGCCGATCGTCGCACGTTGGCGATCGCCGATCCGGGAACATATGGTTGGCAATGCGTAACACGTGGTCCTCGCAGAAGACCTCGCTCAAAGGACGACTTGCTGCGCGACATTCGAGACGCAGGCTCGCCGGCAGAGCATTCCATCTGCCGTTTTCAGCGTCTAATTATGCGGCTCAGGGGGAATCCGAAATTTCGTCGGCATACTTGAATTGTGCTGCACAGACTATTGTATTGTGGTCATCAGATTGGTCAAGCTGTTATGTGCGGCCGGTGCGACGCTCTAAAGCTCGATTCACAGTGCGCTCCCCGCTTCCTACTTATTTTTTTCCGACTTGGGACAGTTTTGCTTCGAGTCAAGGAGAGACGAAGAGAAAGAAGCAAAGAGCGTATTGCGGATCTTCGCGAGACTCCAAAGTACGCCGAATGTCCTCCCCTCTGTTGCGATTTGTTGTTACAACAACGGAGAACCTGCGACAAACATCCCGAGATAGAACGACATTCGGATAAGTATACGAATTGTTCTCGAGGTCGATATATTTAACAACTGGTTTAAACTGCGCACGAAAAACGGACGAACCGGTTATCGGCGGGAGAAAGAGAGAGAAAACCGGTCGACTGTAGCGTGTAGCAATAACAAAAGACATTTGCCACGAGGTAGAGGAGATATATATATATCCCGTGTCCACGTGGCGTCTCGGTCGCCTTCTATTTGCCGCCAATATGTCGTCTGCTTATTTACTCATGTGACATTTATAATAAACCATAAATTGCGTGCAGACGCATCGCGCTATAATTGCGTAAGGTCAAAGGTTAAAGTGTACCGAAGATATATATGAAGGATTGATTAAACCCCCCCCCCCCCACTTCACCACGTCGATGTTTCGCTCGTCGCCGCTCTTATCGAGCCTTATCATAATCGTATCGCTCGTCGCCGCGCGAAATGCTCTCGACGAAATGCCGCAGTCAGCTCATTAAACGCAAATCGCACCGCGAGTTTTCTTCCAAGCGCATATTTGCACAACGCCTATTTTCGAGCGTCGACTCTGCGTAGCTCTCGAAACCGCCTCGCGAATCGATAATACGGCGCGAATCACGCCGGATTATCGCGAGGAGCAAAAGACTCTGCAAAGAAAAAAGAAAGGAACAAAAGGTGGGAAGAAGGAGGTGAGCGAGTCACGCGACGATTATACTCGATGGCGCTAAGAGGCCTCGAATTTGTCGCATTATCGATGCGAGGTTCGTTGACACGGCGAGCTCTCATAAGTATGCTGGATACCCCGCAGAAAGTGACCGCCGGTCGGAAGTCGCGGCAACTATTGATTAATAATCGAAAGGAGTTCCTTGTTGCTAGGTGGGCGTACGAGATCATCCTTAATTACACGCGCGGGAAAAGGAAGACGCTGTGTTGCGTCGGGTAGAATTGGTTTCAATGGCGCTGGGGTCGAAACAAATCTCCTCGTTTTTCACAACAGCAATGCTCAGCAATGTTGAAAGCAATACGCTGAGTTATCAGCGTGACACACACGTGTGACGTAACGACCTCACGTTTCGAACCCGAATCGCTGCTCGAAATTTTCGATTACGCTTGACAGCTTTGCCAGTGACATCGCATGCTTTTCTCTCTTCTTGTATCGTCACGTGAACAGGCCAGGTTTGTTTTACCCAATTTTACACAAAAAGAAAGAGAACGTGGCCTATAATAATTGTCCAAGTAAGCCCTGTTGGCGAGGGACTGTTAAAGTCCCTCGCCGCGCGGGACTTTCGATCGATGACGTCGCGGCGAGGAAACGCGCGCTCGAAATTCCGCCGCGCCATTTCCCAGCGAAAAGATATTTTTGCGCGACAGAATACGTCAGGTCGTCGCTGGAGTGTACTTATAAAATGCTCCGAGTGCTATGCTCCACCGTTGAAAGTCAATCAGAGCCGTTAAATGACGGTGATATGAGGTTGGCCGTACGGAATAATTGCGCATGCGCATGACCAGGCCTCGTATTACAGTCATTTTGCGGCTGTGATTGACTTTCGAGGGAGAAACACAGCGTTCGGAACGTTTTGCAAGTATGCTCTAGCGACCGGAGGTGTCCTTTTGCGCAAATGTCTCTCTATATCTGAAAATGGCACATAGCGATTTTCAGCGTGTCGCCCTTTCTCGCCTCGACGTCATTATCCAATATGGCCGCGACAGGCACACAGTAGCGTCCTCAAAACAATGTGTGATGTGTATTGGTCTCGATAATATCGCTGCTGAATTTGCCGCATTCGTTGTGGCGCGCTCTTGGTCAATTCTATCGGCGCAACAGTATTTTGTCTGCAAAACGATGCGAAAGCAGCATAAAATGATAAAAAAAAGACGTGCGAAAGAATCTGTGAGAAATGTGACGAACAGGAAGGATGACCATTTTATAATACGAACGTAAAAATTGGTATATTTCAACATGGTTGAAATATGTAAAATATTACCTTAATCGTACTTAAAGTCAAAGTAGGATATAAATGTAAGGGAACGCGTGTAATTAACATTTTTGGGTAATGAGCAAGTAATACGACAATCGAGTTATTGTAATTTAAGTCTGGAATGAATTTCTCGTCTTTTCTTTAGGAGACATCAAATGTGTCGTAGGAAATTCTGTTTCTCCCTCCATCTCTCAAAATAATTTGGAAAATATGTAAAACGTATAATGTATTTTTTTCTCTCTTCTCTTTTTTTAAACGACATGGACTCGCAGTTACTTTAATGATCTGTTCGTACTTGCAGTGGCGGCTCTGATATACTGGCGTGATCCCAAGACATCGGGAATAGTGTTTGGCGTGGTCCTGGGTGTGCTCCTGTCGTTGGCCTATTTCAGCCTGATCAGCGTATTCGCTCATCTGTCGCTCTTAGTCCTCGGCGGAACCATTCTTTTCCGTATCTACAAAACCGTTCTCCAAGCTGTGCAGAAGACTTCGGACGGTCACCCGTTCAAGTGAGTACGCAGTTCCGTCAACAGTCAACAGACGCGTACACACCTTGGGAGTTTACTTTGCTGTGACAAAAGCAATTCTTTGGCGAGAAATAAAATGGGAATCCTTACCTAAAACACGCTGGAAAATATTTACGGATGACAGTTGACGTTGCTCGTAGCTTAATTTTCTATTGATGGTTCTGAAAGTATATCTCGTTTCTGGATTTTATTTGACGTTAAAGAAAAGAAGTAAAAGTTCAGATAACGAGTCGAATCGGTTTGATATTGTTCTTTGCCGATGGAGTAAACTCCGTCCTGATAAAATTACACTTGGACTCGAGGGTAAAGTTCTCTCTAATAAAATACTTTTGCATCACAGGGACATTCTCGACTTGGACCTGGCGTTACCGGCTGAGAAGGTGCACGAATTCGCAGACGTCGCGGTCGCACACGCTAACGCTGCCGTTAGTGAATTGCGCAGGCTGTTCCTCGTCGAAGACTTTGTCGATTCCCTCAAGTTCGGCGTCCTTCTGTGGTGTCTCACCTACGTCGGTTCTTGGTTCAATGGCATGACTCTCATCATAATCGGCAAGTACTTTCTCAACTTGGTGTTTTGCTGCGCGCGCGCGCGCGAGCCTTGCGAGCGGTATCGATTTAACACGCGTTACCTTCGCTTCGTTTCAGGCGTGGTCGCTCTCTTCACGCTGCCTAAGATCTATGAGACGAACCAGGAGCAGATCGATCAGAATCTGGCCTTGGTACAGGCGAAAATCAACGAGATTACCGCCAAGTGAGTGAAAGTTTCGCTCGCAGAAAGTAACGCGGCAATGCAACGATGTAACAATGAATAGGAGCCGATTGCGGGTCTACTTTGCAATTTATTTTCAATGTACTGCGCAATATATCGATACGCTTCGGTATACATACTGCAATTAAATGCAAATTAGATCGCGTAATTATCTGTAAGAGTCTCTCATCGTTCCTCATTATTGTATTGTTTATTTATTGTTGTTATTTATTATTTATTATTGATTTCGATTGACGAGCCTTACAGTCATTTTTTACTGAAGCGACAAGTCTGTCCCTAGCAAATGTCTAGAATATTCAGGAGAATATATGTTCAACTTTTCCTGACGTCGAACAAGGTTTCAAAAACAGTCACTTGTCTCTGCAGAGACACGTGTCACTCGTAGACTTCAATTTGACAACTCATTACTTCGCTACTGCGTCTATCCGGCAAGATTATTTTTATCCTGCAAAATTAAATTGACAAAAACGAGAAAGAGAGAGAGAGACGCGTCGTGTTACTTTCTGAAGGCGCCACGTACTTCCTGCCGTCGTGACGTTTCTCGAAAGTCGATTACCCGGTTTGTTTCAGGGTGAAGGCGGCGATCCCCCTCGGTAAGAAAGCTGAGCCGATAAAGGAGGAATAAGGAAGAGTCGTGCGAGACGATAAAGCAGCGGACAGCCGAGACAGCAGCAGAAATAGAAATGACTAAGTTAGAAATGAACGAGACAGAGAAATGCGAAAAGTGCGAGAATAGTGTGAGTTTGAGAGAGAGAGAGAAAGAGAGAGAGAGAGAGAGAGAGAGAGAGAGAGAGAGAGAGAGAGAGAGAGAGAGAGAGGGAGAAAGAGCGCATGCGAAAACAGGACAATTCTACGATCGGGAGAGGGCTCACGTCGTGTGCACACGTTGACCTAGGCCCCGTTGGGTTAGTTGGGTGCGTTGGTGACGGGATAATTGACAGGCGCGCCGGTATCTCCGCGAACTTGGCCGTCGTATTCCGAAGGAAGAAAATATCTGAGTTATCATTTTCCAAGGTAGGTCGACCGGCGAGATTAAACGGTCGCGCGCGCGCGCGCATCGACATTCTAATCGGCAGAGCGATCCTTCATCGAGGATATAAACACCGCGGGAGAGAGAGAGAGAGAGAGAGAGAGAGAGAGAGAGAGAGAGAAAGGGAGAGAGAGAGAGAAAGAAGAGAGAGAGAGAGAGAGAGAGAGAAAGAGAGAGGCAACACTTAGCATTAATTAATCGTTCATTATCACGGTAAACAATGATGGCGTATTTTTAGCCAGCTATATTAACAGTGCAATGTGTGCGGGGCTGCTCTCGAAGAACAGATCAGCCCTTCTCCTCGCCCTCCCCTCTTTTTCGTCAAATGTATTCTTCGACAAATGTGTTTTACGATTATCGCAAACTTCGTGTCTTTACCTTTACCCGATGATGTCCTCTGTTCCTTTACGCAGAGTGAGTGCTTGTATATGTGTGCGTGTGTACGCATGTATGTATGTATGTATGTATGTATGTATGTGCGCATGCACATATGCATGCGCGTGAAAAAGGGAGAGAGAGAGAAGGAACAAGCGAAAGGAAAAGGGTGAATGAGGGAGTATTATGAATGCAACAGTGTTGCACGCGACTTATCGTAATCCCGTCTTCGGAACATCATATTCGATTAAATTGGATGATTGTTCGTGTACCGAAAGAGAATTTACCGACGTACTCGTTTAAGGTATGACGCGACAGTAAGGTAGTGAGAACGGGGGGAGTGGCGGAGGGGGTCTCGTGACGACGCAACGTTCGAACGGGACGACGAGGCGACAAACACAAGAAACGTTCGACGTTTGATCGAAGAGAGATCGTTTCTGCCCTTCAGCGCGAATAGATCTTAAAGTAACTGTCCACTTTTTCCAGCGATTCCCTTCCCCCCGAAGCTCCTCGATGTTTTAAGTTGTTGTTACGTTTGGGAGAGAGTCGAATGAACGCGATTGAACGACCAGTTGAATTATGCGAAGAAAAGAAAACGTATATATTGCATCTGTCTCTTAATGACGTTGACGTTTGCATAATATTATTGCTACTGCATTATTAATTGTAAATGCACCGTTACATACGCACACACGCGTGTACCACGTACATTACCGTCAGAAAGTTCTGGGACACTGGCTCAGATATTAAGTACTTTTATATAATTTATACATATAATACACAAATACACACACACACACACTTATTTGTATAATTTATTAATATTAAAGGAATCGTGAAGCGTAATATTATAAATTATACACACGCGTCATGTCTCTATTTATTACTGTATAAGGTTATGAGGATATGATACATACACACATATATATATATATATATACTGTATAACTTATGAAGAGTGATATGAAGAGTGTGAATTTGTCTGGAAAAATTCGCTTCTCGTTGCTCCGTGTCGCTGAGTTGTTCGACGGTAGTGTATGCACATATGCGTATATACGTACGTTTCTGGCCGCATGTGTATGCGCGCAGACGCGCGCGTGTGTATGTATGTGAGGGAGGGACGGGTTAGTCAAGTCGAATCGAACGATCCTAAACGGTAACGAGGTACGGAACACACTAGACGGTGGACGATGAAGATGCAACTTTATATTATATCGTAATATCTATCTATAGTTATCGAGATCACACGTGTTTTTATCGGGACCGATGGCAAAGTGTTACGAATGTGAATTGTAATACGCGTATTGCTTCTTGACGTTTTCATTATTGCATCTGCATCCGCATGATTAATTTATAAATAAATGATATTAAATAAGATAATCCCTATTCTGTACATGTACACGGTAATTGCTGTTCCCTTTTCTCTCTACCTCCTTTCCCTCCTTTTTTTTTTTTTATAAACTCTTCGTATCTTCTTCCTGACGAATTCTTCAATTTCGACGATTTATTTCTATGATGGCTTTATTACGTAAATTTTCAGTCGATTGGGAAATTGCCGTCTATTACGAAATCCTGAGACGTCCATCACCGAACGAGGAAAGAGTGAAATCGTCAGCTCTCGACGGAATGCAGCGAATGTACGAAAGATCTTGCTGTCCATAATTTTCAATTGACAAATTCCGTATGAAATGGATGATATTCACCGAAATTTGCAGTTTCACAAAAATATCTAATATGCAGTCCATCGGGGGTCGCATACGTATGGAACATTGCAAAACATTGAGGTGATAACAAGTTACAAAGTTGATACATTGCGCTCTAGATTAGATCCAAACATTTATAGTAGACAACTGAAACATGACCGATGTCATTCTTTCTCGATGACTTCGTGACCGCGAAAATTTGCCTGAAATGTCGATGATAAATCTCTTCCTCTGACGTGAGCTCGTGGGAAGGTAAAAATTTTCCAGAATCCCAGGCTCCGCGACAGGCGCGGTGCCCGCTACAGTTTGACATCTGAAATTTCCAAGTATTTTCGCGACATTTACCGAGCAGGATCGACCTCGAGGACCATGATTATCATCACACGCACGTACGCGAGGACGTGACGCGGTAACTTGGATTTGAACTTTTGCCGCCGCGCCTGCTGTCACAATCGCGCTAATCGTTCGTTCGTGCGCGCGCATGCGCGACCTTGGAGCAAGGTGACCATTGCCATCCCGAAGCTGCACGACGCGTATCACTTGCCTTCGAGCCTTCGGAGCGGACTGAGTGCGTCAGAATCGAGTCGGTCGAGTGCTCATTATCGCCGCGACTTGTCTGGAAGTTTCGCGAGTAATCGCGAGCAAACCCCATTGAGAGTAAGGTCACCATGTCGATGACGGACTCCGATCACGAGAAGAGGAAGCAGATCTCAGTGCGCGGCATCGTCGACGTCGAGAATGTAGCGAACTTCAAGAAGACCTTCAACAGGCACCTTCACTATACCCTGGCGAAGGATCGCAATGTCGCCACGACCCGCGATTATTTCTTTGCTCTGGCACACAGCGTCAGGGACAATCTGGTGTCGCGATGGATCCGCACGCAACAGCACTACTACGAGAAGGACCCCAAGGTACCCTTGCACATTTTGTCGCACAGTGCGGTTTTCGAATATGCGGAATCGCCGGCTCCATCCTGGCGAGTTCGAATTGCGATGCCGCGGCCGCGCGAAAGTTCTTGCGAATTCCGCGATTAGCGTGGGATACGCGAAATTAATGTGAACGCATTTCGCGGTTGTAACATCGGAAGCAGGATTACTAGATTTCAAAGTGAACAATCTAGACAGACCTTCTAGAAAGAAGAAAAAAAGTTAGAAAAGGTTATAAATTTGTAAAAATGTTTTTTATTTGAAAAATATGTCGTTGAACTAGAAATATTATTAATGGTCAGTATAAGAAATATCAATAATAATTTGGACCTTCCAAAAAGGGGAAAGAAAATTAGGAGTGTAATTTTGTAACAATGCTTTTTTATTTGACAAACATGTCGATGAATATTATTAATAGTCAATATAAGAAATGATAATAATTCGGACCCTTCAGAAAGAGGAATAAAAATTAGGAGTGTAATTTTGTAAAAATGTTTATTTCAGAAATATATCGATAAACAAGGAATATTATTAATAGTCAATATAAGAAATATCAGTAATAATTTGGACCTCTTAAAAAGAGGGAAGAAAACTAGGAGTGTAAATTTGTAAAAATGTTTTTTATTTGAGAAATATGTCAATGAATGAGGAACATTATTAATAGTCAGTATTAGAAATATCAATAATAATTTGGACTTTTCAAAAAAAGGAAAGAAAATTAGGAATGTAATTTTGTAAATGTGATTTTTGAGATACATGTCTATAAATGAGGAATATTATTAATATTCAACGTATAAACGTATTTAACGTAATATTAATATTCAATGTATAAAGAATATCAATAACAATCTGGTCGGATCTTTCAAGAAGAAGAAAGGAAATTGGAAACATAATTTTATAGAAATGTTTCTTTCTTCTGAGAAATATGTTGTTGAGAATGTGAAATGTTATTAATATTCAGTACAGGGAATATTAATAATATTCAATGGACAAGGAATGCTAATAATATTTCATATTTATTTTGGATATTATTTTTAACATTACTTGGACAGAACATTGCAGGACATTGACGGTAAAAATCTAGTCCAGTCTTTGTCCAGATCGAATCTGAACATTTGACAACGCCGGACAGATGTTCCAAGAAGAAAAGAAAGGAAATTGGATATGTGTAATTTTATAAAAATGTTTTTTTGAGAAATATGTCATTGAATAAGGAGTGTTATTAATATCCAGTATAAGGAATATCAATAATATTCAATGGACAAGGAATGTTGATAATATTTCATATTTATTTTGGACATTCTTTTTAACATTACTCGAACAGCAGGACATTGACGGTAAAATCCAGTCTAGTTTATCCAGTTGGAATTTGACAACATTGTCGCCGAGAGAAATTCAAAGATTGACTCCTGAAGTCACTTTTCTTTCATGTTTGTAATATTAAACAATCAACTTGAACAAACTCGCTGGACTGCTTTGTCTGCTTTGACGGACAACGCAAGCCTTAAAAAAAAATACCCAAAAAATACGCCGATCTCACAATCCTGACTGTCTGCCGATTGTTACTAACTGTTACTGATTAAGAGCGTAAGTCGCAAGCCGTTGAGCAACATGAAGAAAAAGGTGTAGCATGTGATTAGATTCTTGCCGAGTGGCGAAACTTATTGGAGATTTTATCGGGGAATCTGCGAAACACAGAGAGGAAGGAGAGATATCCTCTTATCCTGATTTTTATTCTGATTATATCGCGTTTTGCTCATCCGACATAAATTTCGCAATGTAGGAAGCCATCGGGTAGATTATAGTTCATTAAGAACACACTGACAGATAGTCCGATAAAAATTACTCTCGTTTGACCGGTGCGATTATGCGGCTTACCAATAATAGCGTTACGCACGATCTTTGCACCCGTTTATGCGTTGCGAGAATTTTTAGAAATTCAGATAAAAGTACTTGCGTAAGAACATGCGTTGGTAACAAAATTTTTCCATGGACACATGCGCGCGTCGTCTGTAATAATACAATACGCTCGTACGATATACCGGCAAATAGACTTTAATAAACTGCCGGAGACCAGACTGTACGCTGGTAAATGTATTAAATTATATAGTTACGAGCAACATATAAAAACACCGATAGGTGTTATCAACGTGCAGGAAGCTCGGTATAGCTTCGAAACAATGAGAAGAAAAATCTTGGTAAGGTATAGGAACAATGAGAAAGAAGTACGACGGGTACGCGATATAAAACGTCAAAGCTAACTATGACAAGGGCTCGCTCGGCTTCGCATCGCGACGCGTGCGATTTCTACTACAGCTTCCGTTGTTATTTTAAAAGAGCAAGAGAGGATTCACGTACATATACTTCTCACTCGTGCCCGTCTCCGCACGAGACGCGGGAAACGCTTCGTAAACGGCTTCGTCGTGCAAGATATTTCACTGTCTATTTCGGGGCACATTTCCCGAGTATACAAGTCGCGATGCAGTTACATCACATTTTGACTTTACACTATTATGCGCAAGATTTATTTCGGCTGTTGCACAAGTACTGGCTGCTGTTGTGTGTACGTAGCATTATGCACATAGTCGCGTTTTTGCGAAAAAATGACACGAACGTCTCATGTTTTACGTGCCAGAAAAGCATTGGGAAGGGAAAAATCAAGGCGCAGTAACGATCCCTAACGTTTCTTTGCATAGCTGCGTTTTGTCAGATTTTGTCAATGGACCGAAACGTCCATTCAACTTTGTCTGATCAGTCGTTACTTCGTCCACGCTAACAGAGAGAGAGAGAGAGAGAGAGAGAGCGTTCCAAATGACGTCTCAATCAGCAGACAATATTTTTTTAACGTTTCTCAAATATGTATTTTACATCTTTTTTACATTTTCTCCATTGATTACACAAAAATATTTATTCAACGTTTATTTAATATATGTTTAATTTCTATTTTATATTTAATTAATTACACTAATTATACTTAATTAATTACATTAATTATATTTAATGTATATTTAATATATATTTTACATTCATTCTTCACTTAAAATATTTAAAAAAATATCTGTTTAACGTTCATTTAACGTTTATTTTACATTAATCCTTTATTTAGAGTAATGATTAAGAAAAAATATTTATTTAACATTTATTTAATATTTGTTTAATATCTATTTTACATTAACAGCTCGTTTAAAAATTTTTTTAAATTTATTTTAATTATATTATTTTTAATGTATTGCAATATAAAAAAATTTTTTAGATGTTTTTTTAATGTTTTTAAAAATATTTTTTTAATTATTTTTTCTGATTAGAGTTACACGTCTTCCAGCCAACTTACACTCACAAATTAAGAATAACACACTCGTTATACTTATTATCATCACGATGGATGTAAGAACATGTTTGAACAAACTCCGTTGAAGCTATTCTGCACAAAGAGAGAAACGTCAGGACGTGCTGCGAATAAAAATTATTTCTTGGTTTATACATATATATATATATTTATTTATTTATATTGATGTTTTGCCTTTCGTTGTCCCCCGAGAGAGGTGTAATGTGCAAATTTTTCTCCTTTTTTATTTGCTGTAATTCTACTAGCGCAAATATTCTCTGGGATTCGTCCCACGACCGGACGACTTCCCTCATTAGATCAATCGAGCCTTAAAGCAAAAACATATTCGCTATGTCTACGAGTTATAAGCGTCAGCTGGTCGACCCTGAACGAATTCTCTCTCTCTCTCTCTCTCTCTCTCTCTCTCTCACTGCGAGACGAACATCCGACAGTTTATTTTTATTTGCATGGCCATTGTCTCGCAGTGTAAGGATTTATGCTAATCGATGTCGCAACGCCGGCGAGGATGTGGCGATATTAATTCGGCGTTGCGCTCATATCGTAAAGATCCCAGAAATCCGCACTGCTTGTCGTAACTACGAATCTTCCGTCTCTTTCAGAGGGTGTACTATCTGTCCTTGGAATATTACATGGGAAGGTCGCTGCAGAACACAATGATTAATCTGGGGATACAAGGAGCATGCGACGAGGCGATGTATCAAGTGAGAATTGTGCTTTGCAATGTGCTTCAATTCAAGTTGAAACGCGAGATCTCATTATCTTCATATCTTCAAATAAAATGTTTCACTAGAGTCATCTTGATATAACAGCAATAACAGCTATTTTTGCCTTTTATTTGCGTCTTTTATTGAGTCTTCTCCTAGAGAAGACTGTTCCGCTTTTTTTTTTTTTTCCGGGATCATCTTGGTAACAGCGGCTATTTTTTGCAGATGGGATTGGACATCGAGGAACTGGAGGAGATGGAGGAAGACGCTGGTCTCGGCAACGGAGGCCTAGGTCGTCTAGCCGCTTGCTTCTTGGACAGCATGGCTACGTTGGGATTGGCCGCTTACGGCTACGGAATACGTTACGAGTACGGTATATTTGCTCAGAAGATCAAGCATGGTGAACAGGTAGAAGAACCAGACGACTGGCTGAGGTATGGCAATCCCTGGGAGAAAGCCCGGCCGGAATTTATGTTGCCTGTCAATTTTTACGGCAACGTCATTGATTCTCCCGAGGGAAAGAAGTGGGTGAACACGCAGGTATAGGAAGTTATTTTGTCAGTCATTTTCCACCGAGTGAAATTTCTAGTTGTACTCTATCGATGGTACCCTGAAAAGAAAGAATGATCTTGTGTCAATTCTGCCTCTATACGGTTCTATATAATCGTACGTAATTATACCGTTTATCGTACGAATACAATCAAATAAATGTTTATAATTAATTGAATCGAATCATTTCTTTTCTTTTTCTCTCAACAGTATTTCTTTGTGTGTGTAAACGTACAATTATATATAATTTATATATAGCCATATGTAATATTGTATAATTATTTTTTCCGCGGATTATTCTGCACAAAAACACACGCACACACGCATATATACAGAGTGTCTCAAAAGTCTCTGAACGGTCTCGAAAATAAAGAAATATCTCGAAAATAAGACAGTTTAGATAAAACTGTTTCATACAAAAGTTGTAGAATTTTAAGTGACGCATTATATAGCAATATTAATATGACCTTGAGTGGTGTTATCAAGGTCATGTAAGGATCACTTTGAAATTTTTATAAATGGAAGTTCGAATTTTTATCATACCATCTTTTTCTACTAATTAATTTCAATAATTTTTGACTGTAACTTTTTTTATTCGCCTAATATTTTTTGAGAAAACATAGTTTTTCAGCATTTAGCTTACAATAACTATTTGTCGGAAGGAAAGGTGGTATTAGACTTTTTTGTTCCACTTGGTCTCAGGAATATATTGTCGCAATAGTATCCTAACTTTTGTTAATTTGTTGATCTTTGGAAATTTCAAAATCATCATGTTAACAAAAATTGGGGCACTATTGTATATATTTTTGAGACCAAATAGAGTAAAAGAGTCTAGTACCACTTTTTTCCGACAAATAGTTACCGGAGGTGTTGTAAGTCAAATATTGCAAAAATTACCAAATTTTTCTTAAATATCTCAAAAAGAATTAGGTAAATAAAAAAAATACTTCAGACAGAATTTGTTTAAATTGATTGGTAGAAAAGGATGATATAATAAAAAAATTGGTGTTTCCGTCCAAAAAATTCAAGGTGACCTTCGCATAATCTTGATAACGCTGTTCAACGTCATTGCTACGTGATGCGTCACTTGAAATTCTACAACTTTTGTATGAAACGCTTTTCTCCAAGATGCTTTATTTTCGAGATAGTTTTGAGACTTTTGAGACACTCTACACATATATATACATTTTAAAGGACCCACTCAAATATCTCAGAAACATTACGTTAAATCGAAAAATGCTTAAGACAAAAGTTGTTTGAAGGGGGACATAGAACAGCGATAGTATTTTATTTATAGATGGCGTCACTTTCGAGATATTCACTGATTATCAATTTTCTTAAGTGGAAATCCCAGTCTTTTATTATATCATCTTTTTCTACTAATTAATTTAAACAACTTCTGTCTGAAAAAATTTTTTTATTTGCTTAATATATTTTGAGATATTTAAGGAAAACTTTTCCAACATTTATCTTACGATATCTCACTAACTATTCGTCGAAAGAAAAAATAGTATTAGACTTTTTTACTTTATTTATTATCAAGAATATATTACTATAATAGTGCCCTAACTTTTATTAACTTATCGACCTTTGGAAATTTCAAAATTATTAAATTAATAAAAGTTAGGGCACTATTATAGTAGTATATTCCTGATGAGTAAATAAAGTACAAAAGTTTAATACTATTTTTTCTTTCGACGAATAGTTAGCGAGATATCGTAAGGTAAATGTTGGAAAAGTTACCAAGTTTTCCTTAAATATCTCAAAATATATTGAGCAAATAAAAAAATGTTTCAGACAAAGGTTGTTCAAATTAATTGGTAGAAAAAGATAATATAATAAAAAATTTGGATTTACATTTAAGAAAACTGATAATCAGTAAATATCTCGAAAATGGAGCCATCTATAAACAAAATGTTATCGCTATCCTATGTCCTCTTCAAGCTAAACAACTTTTGTCTTAAACATTTTTCAATTTAACGCAGTATTTCTGAGCTATTTGAGTGGGTCCTTTAAAATGGGACACTCTGTATATATAAACATAATGACTAATTTATATTATATTGTATTATATTATATATTATTTGTAAATTTTATTATTTATTAATTTATATTATATTCTAATAAATACTATTTATTACAGGTTGTATTCGCCATGCCGTACGATAATCCAATCCCCGGCTACAAGAACAACGTTGTTAACACTTTGAGACTCTGGTCCGCAAAGTCGCCGGTGGAGTTTAATCTGAAATTCTGTAAGTATATCTGTTCTCCGGTAAATTTGTGTAGTGCAGCAACAGCTTCTCCACGAAGGCATATTGTCGACCTTTCAGTTAACGACGGTGACTACATACAGGCTGTGATCGACCGTAATCTAGCGGAGAATATCTCCCGAGTTCTCTATCCCAACGATAACTTCTTCGAGGGCAAGGAGCTCCGATTGAAGCAGGAATACTTCATGGTGGCCGCCACGTTGCAGGACATTATCCGGCGATACAAGTCCAGCAAATTCGGCTCGAGGGAGCATCATAGGACGGATTTCACCGCTTTCCCCGATAAAGTGGCGATTCAGCTGAACGACACGCACCCCTCCCTGGCTATTCCCGAGCTGATGAGAATTCTCGTGGACGTGGAGAAACTTTCCTGGGACGAGGTATGGTGTTCTGCCACTTCACTGCTTTTCTACTGATATTATTGGACGCGTCTTCAAGTAAAAAGACCCGTCCGTCGTGAAATCTCACAAATTTCCGTATCCTACACGGGACAGTCGAGACATCTTTCATTTTTCAGGCTTGGGATATCACGACGCGTACATGCGCTTACACAAATCATACTGTTCTGCCGGAAGCGCTGGAGCGATGGCCCACCAGTATGCTGGAGTGCATCTTGCCGAGGCATTTACAGATCATTTATCAGATAAACCACTCGCATCTTGAGAAAGTTGCAGCCAAGTATCCCGGCGACTTAGACCGTCTTCGTCGAATGTCCCTCATCGAGGAGGACGGCGAGAAAAGGGTCAACATGGCACATCTGTCGATTGTCGGCAGTCACGCTATAAACGGAGTTGCTCGTATACATTCTGAAATCCTCAAAGATAGCGTGTACGTTCCGTATCAGATTGCAGTTGTAGCTTTGCTTCCAAGCATATTAATACTGATGTTTTCATACATCACTTTTCGTCGAACCTGCATTAATACTTTCACGCAACTCAGACTTCTATCTACCTCTCTATCTATCTATCTCAGACTTCTTCAGCAAAGAGGAGCTTACAAAACTCGGGGAAATCGATGACAAGCCTAATCTGTCCATTGCGTTTCTTTAGCTTCCGAGACTTTTACGAACTGGCACCGGAGGAGTTCCAGAACAAAACGAACGGCATCACACCGAGGAGATGGCTGCTGCTTTGCAACCCGAGTCTATCTGATATCATCGAAGAAGTAAGTACCCAGCTGTGCACGACGTGACTCGCAGCATTTTCGTTCCATGCTTCAATCATTGCGCATAAAAAAGGTTGAAGATAAGGATTTCAAAAGAAAGAGAAAAAATAACACCCACTTAACACGGTTTATCTCAGAAAATCGGTAACGAATGGACAGTCCACCTGGAGCAGTTGCAGCAACTAAAGAAATGGGCGAAGGATCCCGTGTTCCAACGTAACGTGGTCAAGATCAAGCAGGAGAACAAACTACGACTAGCCCAGATACTGGAGAAAGAGTATGGCGTTCAAATTAATCCAGCGTCTATCTTCGACATTCAGGTGAGGATCAGCGGGAACCCTTCAATGCGACGATGATGTTCGTACACGCGTGTTTTCAGCGGCGTGTACCGCGTGCCGTAACGGAGGGGTTAATAGAAACTTGTTGTGTCGGTAGGTGAAACGCATACACGAATACAAGCGGCAGTTGCTGAATTGCCTGCACGTCATCACCCTGTACAACCGAATAAAAAGGGACCCGTCCGCGCCCTTTGTCCCCAGAACCGTCATGATAGGCGGTAAGGCCGCGCCGGGTTATCACCTGGCGAAAAAGATCATCAAGCTCATCTGCAGCGTCGCCAAGATCATCAACAACGACCCGATCGTCGGCGACAAGCTCAAGCTGATCTTCCTTGAGAATTACCGAGTGACCCTGGCCGAAAAGATCATCCCTGCCGCGGACTTGAGCGAGCAGATTTCGACTGCTGGCACCGAAGCATCTGGCACCGGCAACATGAAGTTTATGGTCAGTAACTTTTGGCAGCGGCGCGAGGCTAGGATTGCGCATTCTCTCGCAGTCAATAAGTCTAGCGTCGTAACTTACGAGTTATCGATAGCTAATATCGACGATAAATCTACTCGTGAAGACAGATCCGCGAACGACCTCGTTACTTCGCGTTATTTGCCTAACATGATCACATTCTTAGTGTGATCTTAATTATTCTTATTGAACAAAATTGGGGAACCTGGAGAGTAAAATTGCACGTTACAGGAAATTTACCCGTAAAAGTAGAGACAAAATCGCAAACGAGCTCGTTACTTCGCAATATCTAGCAAGCACAGTTACCGCAATCTTTATTATTCTGACTACAAGCTGCGACTTGTAAAGAATAAAGGCTCGCGTTATGATCACAGTTGAACGGTGCGTTGACTATCGGCACCTTGGACGGCGCGAACGTAGAAATGGCGGAGGAGATGGGCAACGAGAACATCTTCATATTCGGTATGACGGTGGAGGAAGTGGAGGCGCTGAAGAAAAAGGGTTACAACGCTTACGATTACTACAACAAACTGCCGGAAGCGAAGCAATGCATCGATCAGATCCAAGGGGGATTCTTCAGTCCGAATAATCCCTTCGAATTCCAAGACATCGCAGACGTGCTACTCAAGTGGGACAGGTTCCTGCTTTTGGCCGACTACGACAGCTACGTAAAGACACAAGAACGCGTCAGCCAAGTCTACCAGGTATCGGGTTATTTTTGAAAATTCAAAACAAAAATTCGATTTGAAAATATGTGTTAACTGAATGAAAATTCTCCGGACGGAAATTTTCGAAAGAAATTTTATCTTGAGAATTTGCATTCAGTTGACGATTAAAAGAAGCGACAAATAAATCGCTGGTGCGACTCTACGATCCGAGAGATCATGTTCGTTATTTTCAAAGGGGAATTTTCAATAATTCTATCGTTTGAACAATTGTACTTTTGCGACGAATTTTGCCGTGTTGTAAAGTCTGCGCAACATCTGACCTGATTGTTTCAGGACGAGAGCAAGTGGGTGGAAATGGCGATTCACAACATAGCATCGTCGGGGAAATTCTCGTCGGATCGCACAATCGCGGAGTATTCGCGCGAGATCTGGGGCGTCGAGCCGAGCTGGAACAAACTTCCGGACCCGCATGAGCCTCGCGACATTTAAACGCATCGACGTGAATACTTTTTCATAATGCGTTCCGATGCACGTTCGTTTCCTTCCGCGATTAATTCTGTCCAGCCGTAACAGGCGACAACGAACTTTAGGCTAATAACTGATCGGTCGCGCAAAAGCACTAAGATGTGTTCCTTTTCACTGAACTGGGTTGTACTTTTTTGCTTTTAGAGTAAAATGTGTATCTATCCTAGCGTTCTTCTTCTATTTCTTCTTGTAATACAAGAACCAAGAAGTCTACCGATCATTTTCCATGCATCACTTCATGTTAAAAGATTGATTCAGATACAATGTACAGTTACAGAGTTTAAAAATTAAATATACTAATTCTCTAAAATTTTTTATAAAACAATGGTTCTGTACTACGTTCCGATTCTGAGGCCAAATGGTCTTCAACAAAGCATTGAGGGGAAAAGGAATGTAAAGTTCCAGTACATCGCTAGTTCAGTCGAAACGAACAAACTTATGAAACTGTATCGTGTGTAAAGACACATAATCTGACTATCTATACTTTATGAATATATATATATACATATATATGTATATGTATATTTTTCAGAAATGCTAAATCTTTAATGACGAACACTCGTGCTTGTTTAAATGTGTCGCGTATCTTTCGATATAAATGTTAGAATTAGTCTTCCGTTTTTAAAGGTGTCTACACGTCATATAGACTCACAGTCTCCCTACGACGTGTCTTCCGTGCGATCATGTGAGTATCTACTTGAAACAGTCATCTAGTCTTAATGGTGTTTGATATACTTTCAAGGTTGACACGCGACACTGCAGTACGAAATTTGCTCGCGTTTTACACTCGTTTCTGTCAACTATTTCTATCGGTTAAACGTTAGCCTGATTTTAACCCCTGTTCAGACAAAGATTTGAACTCAAAAGAAAAATTATCATTAGAGGGACAAATATTAATCCCACTCGATTGTGTAGAAATATATTTTGCAATTTCCTCCGTTTTAACATTGTTCGCACAATTTAAGTCGTTATTTAAGTCTCAAGCTGAATAATTTTACTGTTTTAATGATTAATTTCAATAATTAACGAAATAAAGACCGCAGTTGTGAGTCACATAAGAGCGTATCATAGCATATTCCCGTACATTATTCGTGAACATAATATTTCTATCGAAATTAACAGACAGTGATAAAGGATACACGGCGTCTTGGAACGAATGCAAGCAGTTCACAACGCTAATCGTTGCAATTGGTCGATAGTCACCTCGTAGTAAAATTGAGTAAAATTGTTAGAACTTATTTAGTGACATAAGTAATTTATATTAACTGCATCGAGCAAATTTCATATCATGTAACATCTTCATCGACCGTGCGTCATTTACTTGTGAGATCCATTTATGAAGCAGTCAGTACATCCTTCGGGTGCGAAAAACTTTCGATTATGCGACAAATACGAGACGTCTGTTGTGAGCAGGGAAATATTATTACACAAACGTCTTTATATTACGAGGCCAACGAGTTGTGCTTATTTTTATCGAGAAGATGTCTGAGGTTATATATTACGTGATTGCGTAGTGCTTGTATGCTACACAAGTGGTTATACAATGTTCAGAGATATATCGTATATCATATAATATATATATTGTATATCGCCAAGAATATTTTAATCTGTTGGAAATAAAAACTATTGTGAGTGTTCTCCAAGATGTTGCTTAAGAGACAAGATATTTCGAAACAACTTTTACCCCTGCAACTTTGATATAAGTTTTCATAAAATTCACTTTGTCGTTTGACCCGGCTGGTACTAACAATTTAATATTGTCAATCATATCAATAATCCACAGCATACGAATCTAGAAGTGTGAAGTATCGAAAATCTGCAATTGAAATTGTCAAATAACGATACTTTGACGATCGCACTTATTTCTCTAGAAAATTTTTAATTGTGTCCAAAAGTTCACTTTGACATTTTGTTTTTAAAAGAAACATCCTCTAGAGCTTCTATTTTCTCGCAGCGGTCATCCTAATAACGTTATTAGGATGACGAGTACTCGTAATCGTCATTATAAATTATGATGTCAGAAACGAAGAAATATACTCCAAAAATTCTTGCGAAAAAAGCTGTTGAAACAAAAAATATATCCATAAAATCTAATTGGTCGAGCAAATCTATAAATTAGTGCAAATATTTTCCTTTTGCTCTAAGAAATAAGTATCTAGTAAGTAGTAAAATCTATGTGACAGAATTGAAATAAGAAGGTAAGTTGCATGCACAATAATGTATGATCTGCATTGCAGTATAAAACGACCCCGAAAACATACATAAGGAAATGCTATTCCAACCTTATATAATATGTTTCTCTACATAAAATACAGTTGCAAAGTAAGGTTAATATTTTAGGACTTTTGGGCGTTAATGGGTTAATGGGTAAATGCACAGGATTGGGATATGGCTTTTAAGGATTGTAAGGATCTTTTTTGAATACAACATATTGAAATGTTTTCAAATAATTACACGCAACTGCTTAAGTAAAACTGCTTAAGTAAAAAGATTCGCTTTTCAGTGGGAATCCAGCATATTTGCGACATCTTCCATCAAGTAACTAGAATATATTAGATACTTTTTATGATTATAAATACCTAAATTATTAATACATATTACATTGTTATATTTATTGTCAATTGAGGGTGGATAGCCTATATTTAACATAATACATTATTTATTTCATTGCTGTAACAAATAATTAATTTTATAATATTTGTGACAAGAGATTTTTTAAAAGGGGAGATTAATTAACAATTTACTGAATTTATAATTTAAATATTTTTATTCAGCTACAATTTATTATAAATAATGGATGAAAATATATACTACAATACATCAGTAATTACTAGCTAATATAACGTACGATTTGCGTAATGACCTGCTAAATAAATCAAAAACGCCAAAAAGATATAACAATGTGTATGATATTCATTCACGATGTATATATAATATAATATACTACACATATAAATGTATAAATACCTAAATGTACAAACAAAATTTATATACGTATATTACAAATAAATATTAAATCATATAAATTTTGTGTTGTAAGTATGTGTTCTGTAAGTATTGTTATTATTATATATAATAGTATCTTTTGACATAAAACACATAATAAAAATAAAATTGATATAAAAGTTGCATAATATAAATATGGGCACGCTAAGTTTTTAAATATTACTTGCATGTCTACACGATAATATAATCACATATATGCTAACCAAGTGAATTCTTCAGAAATTCTAATTTGTTATTTATTGTTTTTAATATTAACACAAACTAATTAATTTTTAATTAAAATATAACTTTTCATATAGTCAAATTATCATGATATCGAATCACAGTTTATCTTTGGAAAGATTTTGTTAAAATGAATTAAAATTTTAAAATATTGTCCAAATACTTTGTTACATACTTTGTCAAAAATTTATATCGTTTCTTCAATATATCCTGACGTACATCAGATTTGAAATTGAACGCCAAGTTTAATTCATTATTTTGTTAATAATTTTGCAATGAAATTTTTAGAAACTTTCACAAGTCATTTTGTAATAATATATATGAATACTGTTAGTCAATTGTGTAAATATAATATATTTCCCTCTTTGCAACAAATTTAATGACCAGTAATAATTTATATATTAATCAATTTAGTAATTAATAATCTACACTAATTATTAACGGTTACTAAAGATTAACAATTATTAAAGAATATCTTAGAGAAGAAATATATTTAATTTTTGACGTATTTGATACGGCAATCAAACATACTTTAAGTGAAGTGTATTTTTTTATACATCATACCTTCATAATTTCTCGAGTATATGCATACTTGTCGTCTCTAATCTTGATTTTTATTTTATATATAGCTGCGTACGTGATGCCTCTGCTGACTAACTAATTGAATTAAGCGTGCACTTAAGGGAAATCTCCTATATATAAATAATAATTCATCGCCATTAGTAACTTATATGTATATATATATATATATATATATATATATAGTGATAGAAATTTACATATATACAGGATATCCAGGATATACAGGATATAGGATATATTTTCCAATAATCCTATTTCCAGTTTAGACTGGAATAATAATGCCACTCTTTATATAACAAAATACGAAACATCCTGTATATTATTATACAGATGTCTAGATTTCGATGTTTACGAGAGCTCGTGTGCAGGTATAATTCATTAAATTAGATATAAAAAATCTCTGCCAGGATATTGTCAATATGTTTGAGTTATTTTGGATGCGATCTTCTCTGTAAAGATCTTTCTACTGCTTTCCATACGCTCATTCGATGATATCGTTAAAAAATATCTTATTAAACATTGTGAATCTCGCAAAATATTAAAGGGATAATTAAATGGAAAAATATTAAAGGGAAATATTAAAGGAATTTTCTGAGTTATATACAGGGTGGCCAATTTTAAATGCTCATCTGCGGTAGAATGAGCTCTGTGGACACGAAAATGACTGACACGTTAACTGAATTTTTGTGAATAGATCAAATATGTCAACTGAATGTATACAAATTTATAAAATTATAGAACATACGTAAATGCAAATATTGTGAAAGACACATACTCACATCCAAACACATAGCTCATATATAATATACACGAAAATGATCAAAATCTTCAATAATATCAGTTTTAAATGCATATCGTAAATACGTTTCCAGTATTCATATTCCAGTGCCCAGATGGCATGACTTCTATATTTATACATTTTGAAAGAGCAGAATATATCAATTGTTATCAGTAATATCGATATCAGAGATATCGAAGGTTAAAGTTTTCCAAACTTTCTCCGTCGATATCCATCCTTCATCCGTCGATATCTCCGCTTCTACTGGGAGTAGAGGGTCGTCCATGTAGTCCAAAATGTAGGGTTTTGAAAGGGCTTTAATTTGGTACCTGTCCGAAGCCTGTATCTCTAACCGTTTAGGAGATATCGAAGGTTAAAGTTTTCCAACCTTTCTCCGTCGATATCCAGTCTTCATCCGTCGATATCTCCGCTTCTACTGGGAGTAGAGAGTCGTCCATGTAGTGCAAAATGTAGGGTTTTGAAAGGGCTTTAATTTGGTACCTGTCCGAAGCCTGTATCTCTAACCGTTTAGGAGATATCGAAGGTTAAAGTTTTCCAACCTTTCTCCGTCGATATCCAGTCTTCATCCGTCGATATCTCCGCTTCTACTGGGAGTAGAGAGTCGTCCATGTAGTCCAAAATGTAGGATTTTGAAAGGGCTTTAATTTGGTACCTGTCCGAAGCCTGTATCTCTAACCGTTTAGGAGATATCGAAGGTTAAAGTTTTCTAACCTTTCTCCGTCGATATCCAGCCTTCATCCGTCGATATCTCCGCTTCTATTGGGAGTAGAGGGTCGTCATTGTAGTCCAAAATGTAGGGTTTTGAAAGGGCTTTAATTTGGTACCTGTCCGAAGCCTGTATCTCTAACCGTTTAGGAGATATCGAAGGTTAAAGTTTTCGAACCTTTCTCCGTCGATATCCAGCCTTCATTCGTCGATATCTCCGTTTCTATTGGGAGTAGAGGGTCGTCCATGTAGTCCAAAATGTAGGGTTTTGAAAGGGCTTTAATTTGGTACCTGTCCGAAGCCTGTATCTCTAACCGTTTAGGAGATATCGAAGGTTAAAGTTTTCTAACCTTTCTCCGTCGATATCCAGCCTTCATCCGTCGATATCTCCGCTTCTATTGGGAGTAGAGGGTCGTCATTGTAGTCCAAAATGTAGGGTTTTGAAAGGGCTTTAATTTGGTACCTGTCCGAAGCCTGTATCTCTAACCGTTTAGGAGATATCGAAGGGTTAAGTTTTCTAACCTTTCTCCGTCGATATCCAGCCTTCATCCGTCGATATCTCCGCTTCTATTGGGAGTAGAGGGTCGTCATTGTAGTCCAAAATGTAGGGTTTTGAAAGGGCTTTAATTTGGTACCTGTCCGAAGCCTGTATCTCTAACCGTTTAGGAGATATCGAAGGTTAAAGTTTTCTAACCTTTCTCCGTCGATATCCAGCCTTCATCCGTCGATATCTCCGCTTCTATTGGGAGTAGAGGGTCGTCATTGTAGTCCAAAATGTAGGGTTTTGAAAGGGCTTTAATTTGGTACCTGTCCGACGCCTGTATCTCTAACCGTTTAGGAGATATCGAAGGTTAAAGTTTTCGAACCTTTCTCCGTCGATATCCAGCCTTCATCCGTCGATATCTCCGCTTCTATTGGGAGTAGAGGGTCGTCATTGTAGTCCAAAATGTAGGGTTTTGAAAGGGCTTTAATTTGGTACCTGTCCGAAGCCTGTATCTCTAACCGTTTAGGAGATATCGAAGGTTAAAGTTGTCTAACCTTTCTCCGTCGATATCCAGCCTTCATCCGTCGATATCTCCGCTTCTATTGGGAGTAGAGGGTCGTCATTGTAGTCCAAAATGTAGGGTTTTGAAAGGGCTTTAATTTGGTACCTGTCCGAAGCCTGTATCTCTAACCGTTTAGGAGATATCGAAGGTTAAAGTTTTCTAACCTTTCTCCGTCGATATCCAGCCTTCATCCGTCGATATCTCCGCTTCTATTGGGAGTAGAGGGTCGTCATTGTAGTCCAAAATGTAGGGTTTTGAAAGGGCTTTAATTTGGTACCTGTCCGA